GGCCAAGGTGGGAGGATCGCTTGAGGCCAGGATTTTAACACCAGCCTGGGCAATACAGCGAGACTCCATCTCTACCAAAAAAAAAAAAAAAATATATATATATATATATACATGTGTATATATATGTATATATATATATACATATATATACACATATATATATATGATCAGTAATTAACCAGGCCAAAGTGCAGTGGCTCAATCTCAGCCTCCCGAGTAGCTGGGACTCCAGCCACATGCCACTGTTCCCAGCCCAAGATTAGTAAATTTAAAAGTAAAATTTAAGCCTCAAGACTGCCACAGAGATAAATGGACTCTTTATTGTCACAGTGAGCTGGGGAGGGACACTTACAGCCTGAGCTGGTGAGTTCTCGGCAGCCAGCAGTGCAAGCGATAGGCCGTGTGGGCCAAAGAAAAGTGAGTCATGGTGATACTGGGCCCAGAGCACCTGGAGCAAGACAAGAAGGACCCAGGGCAGTCCCATTAGAGTTTCCAAACTACTACACCCATTCATCACAGCCCCCCATCGTGTGCCCTGTAGGAATATGGAGGAAGTACTCTTCAGGAAAGGGACAGATCCTAGTTCTTTAAAACCCAACTTTGGCAGCAATAGGAGCTCACCGTAACCTTAATTCTTCTGTGGCTCTGAAGGTTTCTAGTCTGGTCTGAGCTCAAGTTGGCTATGTTAACAGTTAATGGAACTGAGCTGGGTATTTGAGACAGGTTATAGATGTGACAAGAGAGAAAGACAGCTTCCTTTATGCTGAGAGATCAGCTTCCCCCAGCCCCTCCCTGTCCCTGGGGCATCACCTGGAAATCTGAGCTCATCCCCAAGGATAGGGCTAAAAGCTCTTTGTTCCATCCTTCCCTAAAGTCTGTTTCAGAACTGCAGCAGCTCCCTTGAGGACCCATGGCTCTTACACTAAGCCTTACTCTCCTTCCATCTCTCTCTTGGGAATAGTACCTGAAACCTGAGATGGGTGGGCATGTCTGACCCCAGCTGTCTGTCTGGCACCAGCTGAACTCAGCCCCTCCCCTGGTCTTTGAGAGCATGCTCAGTGGCTGGCGGATACCCTCATTTCTCAGCAGGCCTCAGGGTACTATGGGCATGTTACATTCATCACCATATCTCATAATACCAAGGTAGTTTTTATGGGAATTGGGGGCCTGGGGTAGGGATGAAAGGGATGGGTACAGGCCCCAAGTGAATCCTGGTATCATACTTGGGATGATAACTGAAAGGTAAGACATTTAAACCATTCTGAGTGATGAACTCATTTTTTCTAGTGTCATGCTGACCACTACTGAACCTTCTCCTTTATTTCCTGTTAGCAGTGTCCCTGTGATCCCACCACTGTGCCTTATTTTAAGAAGGCCCCAAGTATATTTCTTTTCTTTTTTTTTTTTTTTGAGATGGAGTTTCCCTCTTGTTGCCCAGGCTGGAGTGCAATGGTGCAATCTCAGCTCACCGCAACCTCCACCTCCTGGATTCAAGCAATTCTCATGCCTAAGCCTCCTGGGTAGCTGGGATTACAGGCATGCGCCACCACGCCTGAGTAATTTTTGTATTATTAGTAGAGATGGGGTTTCTCCATGTTGGTCAGGCTGGTCTCGAACTCCCAACCTCAGGTAATCTGCCTGCCTCGGCCTCCCAAAGTGCTGCAATTACAGGCATGAGCCACTGCGCCCGGCCTATTTATTTCCTTTTTTTTTTTTTTTTTGAGATGGAGTCTCACCCTGTTGCCAGGCTGTAGTACAGTGGCATGATCTCAGCTCACTGCAACCTCTGCCTCCCAGGTTCAAGCGATTCCCCTACTTCAGCCTCTCGAGTAGCTGGGACTACTGGTTCGAGCCACCTGAGGTTACCTGAGGTCGGGAGTTTGAGACCAGCCTGACCAACATGGAGAAACCCCATCTCCACTAATAATACAACAATTAGTCAGGCATGGTGGTGCATGTCTGTAATCCCAGCTACCCAGGAGGCTTAGGCACGAGAATCGCCTGAATCCAGGATGTGGAGGTTGCAGTGAGCTGAGATTGCGCCATTGCACTCCAACCTGGCCAACATGGTGAAACCCCATCTCCACTAAAAATCCAAAAGTTAACTGGGTATGGTTCTGCATGAAGCATACTGAATTCAATATGGTTGAACCCTGGAGGCAGACGTTGTGGTGAGCCAAGATCACACCATTGCACTCCAGCCTGGGCAATAAGAGCGAAACTTCATCTCGGAAAAAAAAAAAAAAAAAGAAAAAAGAAATGGCATTATAAGCACATAATATAGAGTTATGGCAGTAACTGCCAGAAGAAATAGCTGAAAAAGTTAAAAGTGGTTGCCTCTGGGAGCTGGATGGAAGGGATGGTGAGTGGGATATGATTGATGGCTGTTGGTTTTCATTAAGGGCCTTTTTCACTCTGTGATTTTCTAGATCTGTATATATGAATTAGTTGAATAAAAAAGTTTAGGATGGGTGAGGTAGCTCACACCTGTAATCCCAGCACTTTACGAGGCTGAGGCAGGCAGATCATGAGGTCAGGAGATCAAGACCATCCTGGCCAACATTGTGAAACCTTGTCTCTACTAAAAACACAAAAAATTAGCTGGGTATAGTGGCACCTGCCTGTAGTCCCAGCTACTCGGGAGGCTGAGGCAGGATATTGCTTGAACCCAGGAGGCAGAGGTTGCAGTGAGCCAAGATCGTGCCGCCACATTCCAGCGTCATGACAGAGATTCTGTCTTAAAAAAAAATTAATAAAAATTTAAAATTGGATACCTTGCATTTAATTACTTCATTAGTATGGAAGGATCAGTGGAATAATTGATATGAAAAAGAGGGTTGTAAATTATATACTGTTATTCAGTGGAAAGTTATCATGTTACTGTTGTGTTGACTAAAAGGCAAAAATGCTGTATTTGGTAGACAATAATGTATTAATTAACTATGGCCGCAATAGTGCAGGTCACAAAATTTGAGTAACACATGATAATAAACGCTCATTTTTGCTTTTGAGAGTAGAGTCAGCTTGTTGGCTTGACAATCTGAGCCAGGTTTGGTTGCTCTCACTTGGGTTTGCTCATGTGTCTGAGCAGATGGACTGTAGTTCTTGGCTGGTGGGGGATGGCTGTGTTCCCCACATGTGGAACAGTTGGATGGCTGTCAGTGAGAGCATCAGCTTTCTCCCACGTGTTCTGGCATCCTCCACACTATTACTTGTGCCACATTCTTTTGGCAAAAGCAAGTCAAAAAATGTGGGGAAGTCACTTCCATCTCTTCATGGTAGGAGCTGCAAATTCACATTGAAAAGAAGGGATGGGGCTGGGCACGGTGGCGCAAGCCTGTAATCCCAGCACTTTGGGAGGCCGAGGAGGGTGGATCACGAGGTCAAGAGATCGAGACTATCCTGGTCAACTTGGTGAAACCCCGTCTCTACTAAAAATACAAAAAATTAGCTGGGCATGGTGGTGCATGCCTGTAATCCCAGCTACTCAGGAGGCTGAGGCAGGAGAATTGCCTGAACCAGGAGGCGGAGGTTGCGGTGAGCCAAGATCGCGCCATTGCACTCCAGCCTGGGTAACATGAGTGAAACTCCATCTCAAAAAAAAAAATAAAAAAAAAAAAAAGAAGAAGGGATGGGCCAGGTATGGTGGCTCATGCCTGCAATCCCAGCACTTTGGAAGGCCAAGGCAGGCAGATCACGAAGTCAGGAATTCAAGACCAGCCTGACCAGCATGGTGAAACCCCATCTCTACTAAAAATACAAAAGTTAGCTGAGCATGGTGGTGTATGCCTGTAATCCCAGCTAATCGTGAGGCTGAAGCGGGAGAATTGCTTGAACCCAGGAGGCAGAGGTTGCAGTGAGCTGAGATCGGGCCATTGCACCCCAGCCAGGGCGACAGAATGAGATTCCGTCTTGAAAAAAAAAAAGAAAACAAAAAAGAGGGATGGAGACATGGAAGCATTTTTACAGTTCACTTAGCATAATGATTGAAGCCAAAAAAAAATTTTTTTTTTGAGATGGAATCTTGCTCTGTCGCCAGGCTAGAGTGCAGTGGCGTGATCTCGGCTCACTCAACCTCTGCCTCCCAGGTTCAAGCAATTCTCCTGCCTCAGCCTCCCAAGTAGCTGAGATTATAGGCATGTGCCACCATGCCCAGCTAATTTTTATATTTTTAGTAGAGACAGGGTTTCACCATGTTGGCCAGGGTGGTCTTGATCTTTTGGCTTTGTGATCCACCTGCCTCAGCCTCCCAAAGTGCTGGGATTATAGGCATGAGCCACGGTGCCTGGCCAAAGTCAAATATTTTTCATTCATTTATTGGGAATGAGAACATGGAAGGACATCAAAAGATCTGTAACTGGGCTGAGTGTGGTGAGTCATGCTTGTAATCCCAGCACTTTGAGAGACTGAGGTAAAAGGATTGCTTGAGCCCAGGAGTCTGAGACCAGTCTGGGCAACATAGCAAGACCCCACCTCTACAAAAAATAATTTTTAAAATAACTAGCCAGCCTATTGGTATGTGCCTATGTTCCTAGCTACTTAAGAGGCTGAGGTGGGAACATCACTTGAGCCCAGGAGTTTGAGGGTGCAGTGAGCTGTGTTGCACTACTACACTCTAGCCAGGTTGTTAGAGCAAGACCTCATATTTTTTTTTTTTTTGAGACGGAGTTTCGCTCTTGTTACCCAGGCTGGAGTGCAATGGCGCGATCTCGGCTCACCGCAACCTCCGCCTACTGGGTTCAGGCAATTCTTCTGCCTCAGCCTCCCGACTAGCTGGGACTACAGGCATGCGCCACCATGCCCAGCTAATTTTTTGTATTTTTAGTAGAGACGGGGTTTCACCATGTTGACCAGGATAGTCTCGATATCTTGACCTCGTGATCCACCCGCCTTGGCCTCCCAAAGTGCTGAGATTACAGGCGTGAGCCACCGCGCCCAGCCTAAGACCTCATCTTAAAAAAAAATGTATAACTGATTGTATTTTTTTTTTTTTTCCTTTGTAGACAACAAGGGAGGTGTCACAGTTTTCCATTTAGATCAGCAACTTCAAGTTCTTACCATGGAAAATTCCGAGAAGACTGAAGTGGTTCTCCTTGCTTGTGGTTCCTTCAATCCCATCACCAACATGCACCTCAGGTTGTTTGAGCTGGCCAAGGACTACTTGAATGGAACAGGTAGGAGCAGTAACCAAAAGTGGCTTAAGACGAGGGAAGCAGTATGCCTGGGTCTGTTTCAGAATACACATTTGATCGACTGGGCACAAATATGCTGTCCTGCTCTCTTGTACAGTGACTTCTTAGCCAAGAAAGAGGGTGAAGTATGAGGGTAGAATTGAGCATCTGGCTATGGCCTGTAGAATAGAAAGTACAGTCGAGTACAGTGGCTCACACCTGTAATCTCAGTGCTTCGGGAGGCTGAGGTGGAGGATCACTTGAGGACAGGAATTTGAGACCAACCTGGGAAACAGAGACAGTCCCAATCTCTACAAAAAATTAGTCAGATATGGTGGCATGTGTCTGTGGTCCCAGCTACTCGGGAGACTAAAGAAGGAGGATTACTTGAGTCTGGGAGGTGAAGGCTGCAGTGAGCCATGATCACACATTTGCTCACCAGCCTGGGCATCGGAGCAAGACCCTGACCACCCTCCCCCTCCAAAAAATGGAATTTGTTTCTGTCATCCATGTGCTTAAGCTCCTTCAGAGTTTCCCATTACTTAAGGCAAAAAGTGAAAGCTTGTACTTAGCATACATAAAACCTCCAGGATCAGGTACAGCCTTTTAAAATTTTTCATAAACAATGCATGAATAGACTGCGGGGGGCATGGCTCACACCTGTAATCCCAGCACTTCGGGAGGCAGAGAGGGGCAGATTACCCGAGGTGAGGAGTTTGAGATCAGCCTGGCCAATGTGGCGAAACCCCGCCTCTACAGAGTCTTGCTCTGTTGCCCAGGCTGGAATGCAGTGGCATGGTCTGGTCTCACTGCAACCTCCACCTTCCAGGTTCAAGTGATTCTCTTGCCTCAGCCTCTCGAATAACTGGGATTACAGGTGTGCACCACCACACCCGGCCTATTTTTGTACTTTTAGTAGAAATGGGGTTTCACCATGTTGGCCAGGCTGGTCTCGAACTCCTGTTCTCAAGCAATCTTCCCACTTTGGCCTCCCAAAGTGCTGGAATTACAGGCATGAACCACCATGGCATGACATAATATAACATGTTTAATGTGTATCCTTCCAGTCTTCTTTGTATGAATTTATATGCAAACATTTGAGTGTATAGACAGATTTTTTTTGTTCGTTTGTTTGAAATGGTTCTCACTCTGTCACCCTGGCTGGACAGGCTGGAGTGCAGTAGTATGTTCACAGCTCACTGCAGCCTTGACCTCCTGGGCTTAAGTGAGCCTCCTGCCTAAGCCTCCTGAGTAGCTGTGACCACAGGCATGCCACCACATCTGGCTAATTTTTTTCTTTTTTGTAGAAACTGGGTCTCACTGTTTTGCCCATGATGGTGTTAAGCTCCTGGGCTCAAGTGATTCCCCTGCCTCGGTCTCCCAAAGTACTGGGATTACAGGTGCGAGCCACTACACCTGTCCTAGATTTTTTGTTACATAAATGATCATATAGGGCCGGGCGCGGTGGCTCAAGCCTGTAATCCTAGCACTTTGGGAGGCCGAGGCGGGTGGATCACGAGGTCAAGAGATCGAGACCATCCTGGTCAACATGGTGAAACCCCGTCTCTACTAAAAATACAAAAAAAAAAATTAGCTGGGCATGGTGGCGTGTGCCTGTAATCCCAGCTACTCAGGAGGCTGAGGCAGGAGAATTGCCTGAACCCAGGAGGCGGAGGTTGCGGTGAGCCGAGATCGTGCCATTGCACTCCAGCCTAGGTAACAAGAGCGAAACTCCGTCTCAAAAAAAAAAAAAAAAGATCATATAATATGCTGATAGGTAGATGGATGGATGGATGCTAAAGCTCACTAATAATTTTAATAACCAGGGAACTAACTTAAAAAGTGATATATGTTTTACCTATCACATTGAGAAATGGGCTTTTGCATACACTTTAGGTGGACAATACAAATTAAGGCTTTTGGCCGGGCGTAGTGGCTCACGCCTGTAATCCAAGCACTTTGGAGGCCAAGGCGAACGGATCACCTGAGGTCGGGAATTCAAGACCATCAAGACCAGCCTGACCAACATGGTGAAACCCTGTGTTTAAAAACAAAAAACAAAAAAAACAAATTAAGGCTTTTTACAAAGTAATTTGGCAATATCAATAGAAATTTAACTGTATAGGGGAATGAGGCGAGGTACAGAGTTTCAGTTGGGGAAGATGAAAACATTCTAGGGATGAGAGTGATGGTTGCACAACAGTGTGCTTGCACTTACTATCATAGAACTGTATACTTAAGTGGTTAAAATGGGAAATTTTTGTGTTATTTATATTTTACCATAATTTCAGTCAATTAATTGATCAATCTGCTAATAAGCTGGAATCCTCAAAGAAAGAGAATCAGTGATTATAAAACAATATCGGCCAGGCATGGTGACCCACACTTGTAGTCCCAGCACTTTGGGAGGCCGAGGCAGGCAGATCACTTGAGGTCAGGAGTTCGAGACCAGCTTGGCTAACATAGTGAAACCCCATCTCTACTAAAATAACAAAAATTAGCCAGGCATTGTGGCACACATCTGTAACCCAGCTACTTGGGAGGCTGAGTCAGGAGAATTGGTTGAACCTGGGAGGCGGAGGTTGCAGTGAGCTATCATGTCACTGCACTCTAGCCTGGGCATCAAGAGCGAGTCTCTGTCTCAAAAAAAAAAACAAAACAAAACATAATATTGATCATAATATTTCCTGTGCATAAAATCTAATTTGTTATACCTAATGCGAAACCTAACTCTTCATCCAGGAAGATACAGAGTTGTCAAAGGCATCATCTCTCCTGTTGGTGATGCCTATAAGAAGAAAGGACTCATTCCTGCCCATCACCGGGTCATCATGGCTGAACTTGCCACCAAGAATTCCAAATGGGTGGAAGTTGATACATGGGAAAGTCTTCAGAAGGAGTGGAAAGAGACTCTTAAGGTGCTAAGGTACTCATAGTGGAATCAGCTTTGTTAGTTCTGTGTTAATGGCTAGGCAGCTTGTTTTTACCATGTTTCCATGTTGCTTACATCTGTGAACATACAAAAATGTGACAGATTTGCAAAACTGTCACATATGTTATAAGCCATTTCTGTGGAAGGTTACTATAAGACTGTAGAGCACAGTACCAGAGGATGGGTATTCCTTAGCCCCTCTGTGTCTTTCATTATGTTTTAAGATGTTTGTGGCCGGGTGTGGTGGCTCACGCCTGTATTCCCATCCCTTTGGAAGACAGAGGCGGTTGGATCACTTGAGGTCAGGAGTTCGAGACCAGCCTGGCCAACATGGTGAAAACCCATCTCTACTAAAAATACAAAAATTAGCTGGGCATGGTGGTGTGTGCCTGTAATCTCAGCTACCTGGGAGGCTGAGGCAGGAGAATCACTTGAACCCCGGGGGGCAGAGGTTACATTGCATGCTTGCTACTATGTGTTATCACTATTAGAAAATAGAGGAAGCTGGCCTGGCCTTCTGTGCCCCAAATGAGAGAGGCAAAATTGCAGGAAAATGTTATGATTATCAGTCTTCCTAAGTATAAAAGTGACAGGCAGCTGGGCATGGTGGCTCACACCTGTAATCCCAGCACTTTGGGAGGCTGAGGCAGGTGGATAACGAGGTCAAGAGATCGAGACCATCCTGGTCAACATGGTGAAACCCCGTCTCTACTAAAAATACAAAAAATTAGCTGGGCATGGTGGCACATGCCTGTAATCCCAGCTACTCAGGAGGCTGAGGCAGGAGAATTGCCTGAACCCAGGAGGAGGAGATTGCGGTGAGCCGAGATCGCGCCATTGCACTCCAGCCTGGGTAACAAAGAGCGAAACTCCATCTCAAAAAAAAAAGAAAAAAAAAGTGACAGGCAGATAATCTAAGGAAGAGAAGCATCAAGTGCTGCTTGATCATGGACAGGACTGATTTGTTTGCTGCTTCCGTGACAGTATCTGGAGAGAGTCCCAAATCTCTGTGCCCATACCTTTGAAGCAGTTCTAGTTAAGGGTTCAGAGACCAGAGCAAGTGACATCTAATTATTTTTCTTTTCTTTTTTTTTTTTTTTTATGGAGTCTCACTTTGTTGCCCAGGCTGGAGTGCAGTGGCGTGATTTTGGCTCACTGCATCCTCTGCCTTCTGGGTTGGAGCAATTCTCCTGCCTCAGCCTCCCACGTAGCTGGGGTTATAGGTGTGTGCCACCATGCCTGGCTAATTATTGTGTTTTTTGTAGAAATGGGTTTTTGCCATGTTGGCCAGGCTGGTCTTGAAGTCCTGACCTCAGGTTATCCACCCACCTTGGCATCCCAGAGTGCTGGGATGACAGGTGTGATCCACTGCACCCGGCCCTCTCTTTTTTTTTTTTTTTTTTTTTGAGACGGAGTCTCGCTCTGTCGCCCAGGCTGGAGTGCAGTGGTGTGAACTTGCCTCACTGCAATCTCTCCCTCCTGGGTTCAAGCAATTCTCCTGCCTCAGTCTCCTGAGTAGCTGGGACTACAGGTGCCTGCCACCACCCCTGGCTAATTTTTGTATTGTTAGTAGAGACGGGGTTTCATCATGTTGGCCAGGCTGGTCTTGAACTTCTGACCTCAGGTGATCTACCTGCCTCGGCCTACTAACACCTAATTATTCTTTTTTTTTTTTTTGAGACGGAGTTTCACTCTTGTTGCCCAGGCTGGAGTGCAATGGCGCGATCTCGGCTCACCGCAATCTCCGCCTCCTGGGTTCAGGCAATTCTCCTGCCTCAGCCTCCTGAGTAGCTGGGATTACAGGCATGCGCCACCATGCCCAGCTGATTTTTTTTGTATTTTTAGTAGAGACGGGATTTCACTATGTTGATCAGGATGGTCTCGATCTCTTGACCTCGGGATCTACCCGCCTCGACCTCCCAAAGTGCCCTTTTTTTTTTTGAGACAGAGTTTTACTCTTGTCGCCCAGGCTGAAGTGCGATGGCGTGATCTTGGCTCACTGCAACTTCTGCCTCCCGGGTTCAAGCAATTTCCCTGCCTTAGCCTCCTGAGTAGCTGGGATTATAGGCACCATCACCACGCCCGGCTAATTTTTTGTATTTTCAGTAGAGATGGGGTTTCATCATGTTGGGCAGGCTGGTCTTGAACTCCCGACCTCAGGTGATCTGCCTGTCTCAGCCTCCCAAAGTGCAGGGATTACAGGCCTGCCACTAGGCCCAGCCGACACCTAATTATTTCTTAATGTTGTTTTGATTTTTCAAAATTTTCTTTTCTTTATTTTGTTGGAAATGGGGTCTCGCTATGTTGCCTAGGCTGATCTCAAACTTCTGGCCTCAAGCAGTCCTCCCACCTAGGCCTCCCAAAGTGCTGGGATTACAAGTGTGAGCTACTATGCCTGGCCTATTGTTATCTTGAGTTTAAAATAAAAGGGCTTTCTGAAAAGACTTTCGTTTAGTATCTGTTCTTAGAGTTCTGAACCTTCCAGTTACCGACTACATCAGTTAGGATTCAGATGAGGAAGTGGAAACCACTCTGGGTATTTTAAGTGGAAAGAGATTTAAGTTCTTAGTCAAAAAGTACTTAAAAGTAAAATAACTGAGGCTGAGTGTGGTGGCTTATGCCTATAATCCCAACATTTTGGGAGGCTGAGTCAGGCGGATTACCTGAGGCCAGGAGTTCAAGACCAGCCTGGCCAACATGGCAAAACCCCATCTCTACTAAAAATAAAAACATTAGTTGGGCGTGTTGGTGCATGCCTGTAATTCCAGCTACTCCGGAGGCTGAGGCAGGAGAATTGCCTGAGCCTGGGAGGTAGAGGTTACACTGAACTGAGATTGCACAACTGCACTCCAGCCTGGGCAACACAACAAGACTCTGTCTCAAAAAAAAAAAGTAGCTGGAGGCTGGGTGCTGTGGCTCATGCCTGTAATCCTAGCACTTTGGGAGGCTGAGGTGGGTGAATCACCTGAGGTCAGGAGTTCAAGACCAGCCTGGCCATCATGGTGAAACCTCATCTTAAAAAAAAAAAGTAGCTGGAGAAGTGGAAGTCAAGATCACTCCTCCAAAGTTGCAGTCAGAATTCAACAAACCAGTTTTGCCTCTGCTGCTATTAAACCATCTCAGTCTCCTGAAGTTAATGATGGGACAGTGGACTCCAGAGTCTAGCCACCACACCCACACTAGACAGGATGACTTGTCAGGCTCCACAGCCCCAGGATGATGGCCTCTGTCCTCCTCCTGCCTTCCAAAACTCTCAGGAGAGAATCTCATTAGCAGAATTGCAGTCACGTCCAGAATCTGCTGCAAGGACCTCTGGGAAGAGTGCTGGGCAGCATTGGGGGCTGAGCCAGTATAGTATCTTGCACAGTGATCTCTTAAGAGGACTTACTTTTCAGACTTGGCAGGGAGAAGAGTCTCCACTGCTTGATGGCAAAAAATTCTCCCATGAGGGACCAGGTTCCTGGGCCATAGCCCTAACCAACCCTCTGGCTTTATAGTAACCTTACGGCCTATTACATGGTCAACTCAGCTGTTCAGAAGGGTTGGGATTTAGGGAGATAAAGGACCCACAGTTGGATCCCACAGGTGTAGTTGATGTTATTTGGCTAACATTGCACAGTTCGTAAACAGTTGGTACCCTGGTGCCAGCCCAGAATAGAGCTATACACAAATCCTGCTTAGAGCCCCTTCCTCTGAGGCCTCAGGCACTTGCCCTTCTAGGACCTTCTCCTTGGCATTGTTTTAAGCCACACTCTTCAATGGTCAAGAGTGTGGGCTCTGGCCTAGACTGCTGAGGTTCAAGTCCTGGCTCTGCTATTAATACTTATAAGTTAAATGACCTTGGGCAAATTAGTCAGTGTCCTCTCTCAATGGGGGTAAGAAACAATTCTGATATAAGGGTGGCAATAATGCAGTGATGAGGTTTCACTATGTTAGCCAAGCTGGTGTTGAACTCCTGACTTCAAGTGATCTGCCTGTCTCGGCCTCCCAATGCTGGGACTAGAGGCGTGAGTCACCATGCCTGGCCAATTTTGTTTTGTAATCACTGATTCTCTTTCTTTGGGGATTCCAGCTTATGAGCAGATTGATCAATTAATTGACGAAATTATGGTAAAATATAAATAACGTAAAATTTTCCCATTTTAACCACTTGAGTGTACAGTTCTATGATAGTATGATAATGAGATGCCATCTCTCAAAAAAAAAAAAGTTAGGCTGGGCGTGGTGGCTCACGCCTATAATCCAAGCACTTTGGAGGCCAAGGCGGGTGGATCACCTGAGGTCGGGAGTTCAAGACCAGCCTGACCAACATGGTGAAACCCCATCTTAAAAAAATAAAAATAAAAATAAAACAATAAATAAAGTTAGCTGAACATGGTGGCATGTGCCTATAGTCCCAGCTGTTTGGGAGGTGGAGGCAGTAGGATCACCTGAGCCCAGGAGTTCTTGGTTGCAGCAAGCTCTGTGTCACTGTGCTCCATCCTGGGCAGTACAGTGAGCTGTGTCTCTAAAAAACAACTCCGAAAACATTCTCTCAAACAAATTATTGAATGCCTCCTATGTTTCATGGACTCTGCTAGGAGCTGGAGTTGCAACTGTAAGCCTCCCTTTTCCCTTCCCTTATGGAGATAATAATATTTATGATACAGGATGTTGAGTTTTTTTTTTTTTTTTTTTTGAGAGGGAGTCTCCATCTGTCACCCAGGCTGGAGTGCAGTGGCGCGATCTTGGCTAACTGCAGCCTCTGCCTCCTGAGTTCAAGTGATTCTCCTGCCTCAGCCTCCTTAGTAACTGGGATTACAGGTGTGTACCCCCACAACTGGCTAATTTTTTGTATTTTTAGTAGAGACGGGATTTCATCATGTTGGTCAACTGGTCTCGAACTCCTGACCTTGTGATATGCCTGCCTCAGCCTCCTAAACTGCTGGGATTACAGGCATAAGCTGCCATGCCCGTTCGATTTTTTAATATCTTTTTAGTTCTCCACAACAGTCATCTTATGTTGAGAGGATTTTATCAGATAATCCATGTACAGGATGCAGTGTAGGGTGTGGCACATCATAAATAAATAATGTTGGCCAGGTGTGATCGCTCACACCAGTAATCCCAGCACTTTGGGAGATGGAGAGGGGTGGATCACTTGAGGTCAGAAGTTCAAGACCAGCCTGGCCAACATGATTAAATCCCATCTCTACTAAAAATACAGAAAAAAAATAGCCCAGCATGGTGGTGTGGACCTGTAATCCCAGCTGCTCAGGAGGCTGAGGCAGGAGAATTGCTTGAACTCAGGAGGCAGAGGTTGCAGTGAGCTGAAATTTTGCCACTGCACTCACTCCAACTCGGGAGACAGAGCAAGACTCCATCTCAAAATAATAAATAAATAATGTTAATGATACTCTGATGGGGCATTGTGAGAAAGCAGAACATTCTATGGTTCTGTTGTTTTATAGACACCATCAAGAAAAACTGGAGGCTAGTAACTGTGATCGCCAGCAGAATTCACCTACGCTAGAAAGGCCTGGACGGAAGAGGAAGTGGACTGAGCAAAAACAAGATTCTAATCAAAAGAAATCCCTAGATCTGAAAACAAAAGGTTTGTATGTTTCATCAGGACTTGTGGTCTAGAGCTGATAAGATTCTATAGCTGAGCAAACCCCTGTGTATTTGTTTGTTTTTTAGAGATGGGATCTCACTATGTTGGCCAGGTTGGTCTTGAACTCCTGGCCTCAAGCAATCCTCCCGCCTTGGTCTCCCATGGTATCAGGTTTACAGGTGTGAGCCACTATACCTGGCCTGTATTTTCTTTTTTTTTTTTTTTTTTTTGGTTTTGAGATGGAGTGTTGCTCTGTTGCCCAGGCTGGAGGGCAGTGGCACAGTCACGGCTCACTGCAACCTCTGCCTCCTGGGTTCAAACAATTCTGCGTTAGCCTCCTCAGCAGCTGGGACTGCAGGCATGTGCCACCACGGCCTGCTAATTTTTTGTATTTTTAGCAGAGACGAGGTTTCACCATATTAGCCAGGATGGTCTCGATCTTCTGACCCCATGATTTGCCCACCTCAGCCTCCCAAAGCGCTGGGATTATAGGCATGAGCCACTGTGCCCAGCCTAGCCTATATTTTCATTTTATATTGCATACTTGGTGTCTGGAAAATGCCTGTTGTTGGTTTCATGAAGCGAAGAAGAATAAAAGGCACCTGAGCTTATTTCTCCTGCAGTGGTCTCTAATTTTTGAGGTGTTCTGGATCTCTTTTGGAAATCTAATTCTTTTTTTTTTTTTTTTTTTTTTTTGAGACAGAGTTTTGCTCTTGTTGCCCAGGCTGGAGTGCGATGGTATGATCTCGGCTCACTGTAACTTCTGCCTCCCGGGTTCAAGCAATTCTCCCACCTCAGCCTCCCAAGTATACACCACTACCCCTGGCTAATTTTGTATTTTTAGTAGAGATGGGGTTTCTTCATGTTGGCCAGGCTGATCTCAAACACCTGACCTCAAGTGATCCACCCTCCCTGGCCTCCCAGAGTTCTGGGATTACAGGCATGAGCCACCGTGCCCAGCCCCAACCCTCATTCTTGAAAAGCACATGTATACCTTCAATTTGATACAATGGGGAAAAGTAAACCCCTTTCCACTTGGAGGAGGTAGGGGGGAAGAAAAAGCAAACCCTGAAGCTCTGTTTTATTCTTCCCAGCTGTACCCAAGGTCAAGCTGCTGTGTGGGGCAGATTTACTGGAGTCCTTTGCTGTTCCCAATTTGTGGAAGAGTGAAGACATCACCCAAATCGTGGCTGACTATGGGGTCATATGTGTTACTCGGGCTGGAAATGATGTTCAGAAATTTATCTATGAATCGGATGTGCTGTGGAAACACCGGAGCAACATTCATGTGGTGAATGAATGGATCACTAATGACATCTCATCCACAAAAATCCGGAGAGCCCTCAGAAGGGGCCAGAGCATTCGCTACTTGGTACCAGATCTTGTCCAAGAATACATTGAAAATCATAATTTGTACAGCTCCGAGAGTGAAGACAGGAATGCTGGGGTCATCCTGGCTCCTTTGCAGAGAATCACTGCAGAGGCTAAGACATGAGAATTCTACAGCATCATATTTTGGACTTCCCGTTTGGGGATCTGAAACAATCTGGGCGTTAGTAACTGGGGAAGGAAGTTGTGATCTGTTGCCTAAACTAAAGCTTAAGTTGAGTAAAAACTGGCCTGGTGTGGTGGCTCACGCCTATGTTCCCAGCACTTTGGGAGGCCAAGGCAGGCAGATCACAAGGTCAAGAGATCGAGACTGTCCTGGCCAACATGGTGAAACCCTGTCTTTACTAAAAATACAAAAATTAGCTGGGCATGGTGGTGCACACCTGTAGTCCCAGCTACTCGGGAGGCTGAGGCAGGAGAACTGTTTGAACCCAGGAGGCAGAAGTTGCAGTGAGCCGAGATCGCACCACTGCGCTCCAGCCTGGCAACAGGGCAAGACTGTCTCAAAAAAAAAAAAGTTTAGTAAAAATCAATGGTAAGTTAAGGCCGGGCACGGTGGCTCAAGCCTGTAATCCCAGCACTGTGGGAGGCCGAGGCGGGTGGATCACGAGGTCAAGAGATCGAGACCATCCTGGTCAACATGGTGAAACCCCGTCTCTACTAAAAATACAAAACATTAGCTGGGCATGGTGGCGTGTGCCTGTAATCCCAGCGACTCAGGAGGCTGGGGCAGGAGAATTGCCTGAACCCAGGAGGCGGAGGTTGCGGTGAGCCGAGATCGCGCCATTGCACTCCAGCCTGGGTAAAAAGAACAAAAAGACCACTAGGAAAACATTCATCATAACAAAATCTCAATGGTAAGTTAAAATAAGAGTTATTTTATTCTTTTTATCAGATGTTGCTAAGATGAATGTTTTCCTTATGGTCTTATTGTAATCTCTATCTTTAAAACATTAAGACAAGAAATTAGTAGCACACAAAAACCAGAAGTGTTTTCAGTGAGACTAGCTGCAAATAAGTTAAAACGTCCATCCCAGCTCTACCATATAAAAGAAGCAAAATGTATGGGCCGGGCGCGGTGGCTCAAGCCTGTAATCCCAGCACTGTGGGAGGCCGAGGCGGGTGGATCACGAGGTCAAGAGATC